CCTTCAAAACGCGTCCTGTTTGCGTGTCGATGCGGGTACGAAACGGCGGCAGGACGTGGAGAACTCCGTTCGCTGTAGTAGAACATCTGTAAGCCCCATAGCACAGGTAAATTCTCACCGATTTGCGACGTAAGGGGCGCGTTCTGTTCGCCCTAACTATGCGCACATACTGCAAAAGAAACCAAGTCAATCGGACGCATAATGAGTGAGCTAGAGGAGCCGGGGGTACCCCTGCATGGTGGTCCACCCCAGGATCAGGACCACCTACCTGATTTGGGCGAGGTGTAATCGAAAAAAGCGCCCTGTAGATTAGATCAGTAAGTGCCTGCCTAATGTGGCCAAAGAGATAAGAAAGCGCCTGTTATCTATTGAGATAACAGGCCCTGCAGCCTTTCCCGGGGCCAGTTACTGCATTTGGAGTGCAAATACAATCTCCGACGCTTATGTCAGATTAGTCGCTAACATACGGCCGTTGGTGCATAAGGGGTGCCTGGGCGCGTACGGCGTGTGGTGCATCAGAGTTACGACAGCGGCTGCTTGTGCGGTGGCGAGCTTGCGCTCAAGCCCAACGACATCTACGAGAATCGGAGGTCAGATAGAGCCTGAGCGCGAGCACAACCGTTCGCTTGTAGCGGCCTACGAGTTAGACGGGCTCTCACATTCAAGCGGTACTACAACCGTCTTATCTCCTTCATCTCTGACAAACGTGTGTGTAGGCATCAGACGCGGGCGGCGCTGCGATGGGCAAGCGTTGCGATGAGCGAGTCGAGGGCGGCAGGGGTCCGGTTGATGCTCGAAGGATGGGATCGGAGGGCAGTGGGGTGATGGGGGAAGCGATTTGAAGCTGGGGAAGCTGCGCATACCATCGCCACGGTCGACCACTCGCAAGCCCCTTACGTAAAGCCCACGGCGGAGTAGAAAGCACTCGTACGCATGACACGATCGTGAAGCCTCATGCATTAACTCGGATACGCTGCAACTACGCCACTCTTCCACGAAGACACCAGGACACGCTACGCAACATACAACCGTTCAAGTACAGCCGCCCGCGGGCCCACCGCAACTCAGGCTAACGCATGGAGTGAGATGAAGTTATGCAGAGAGGCGAAAGGTTGAGAGCTCACCGATCTCAGACTCAAGCGCGTCCTCGACCATCGCCTCGACGGTCTCCTGGGTCGCCTCCTCGACCGCCTCCTCTGCCGCCTCCGCCTCCTCTGCCGCCTCCGCCTCCTCTGCCGCCTCCGCCTCCTCTGCCGCCTTCCCTGCCGCCTCCTCTGCCGCCTCCTCTGCCGCCTTCTTACCCGTCTTCTGGGTGGCCTTCTCGATGGCCTCCTCGACCGTCCCCGCGACCTTCTTGGCGGCATCCATGACCTCTTGGACGGCCTGGACGGCCTGGTCAAAGACCGCGGGGACGGTGTCGACCGGCTGGAAGGGGCGCTGCACAGGGACAGTGCTGATAACCTGGGCGATACTACCGTTGAGGTCCGCACAGCGGGACTCGGCCTGAGACTTGCTGCGCGCGAGAGCACCGACGCAGTCCCAGAGGTCGCTGACCTTGTTGAAGCGAATGTGCTGTTTCAACTTCTTATCGCAGAAGCCGACGGTGACAGTGCGGTTGTACTGTAGAATGCGAAGGTCCACGAATAAGTACGAGAGATAACGATGAGAGCAATGAGTGGCCCATACCTCCTCGACATCGAGGCGCATTTCGGTAGTCACGATGAAAGTGCACAACACCTCGGGAACGGGAGCGCACACGTTGATGCCGTTTTCAACGGCCACGACGCAGGTCACGACAAGAACACCTGGATTACGGTGAGTATCTGGGCTTATACAACATGCAACGGACTTACTAATTTTCGGGGCTATCTCTGCAATTACGGTGTGGGCAGGGTACCACATGAACTGTCCGTAATCGGGGCCCTTGGAAAGGGGGACCGTACACCAAAAGGCGTCCCCGCAGGCAAAAGATGTCACTGGGACGCTGTAGAGTTATACATGAGGTTCAGCCAAGAGACGTCGAGCGACAATAGAAAGCGTACGAGAAAACGGTTGCCATGCTTGTTAGAGGTCAGGAGAAATGAAAGAAGATGTCCGGGGAGGTCGCTGACGAAGGGAAGATATACAATCGCTGAGACAAAGGGCTATGTTCGCGTTACAAAGAGCATTGTCACGCGCAGAGCGTGCGATGCGCCACTGGCCGACGCGCGTGTCTGGATACGGTGTCTGGATACGTTGGCGCAGTGCGTGCTTGCCTGCGACGTCAGTTGACTACCAGATGACTGTCCGCATGTCCTTTGCCATCGGTGTTTCTGCATACAAACTAAGGGTAGTAGTGCGTAACGGCTATGGGAACAAATCCATCGCGCTTGCACCGTGTATGTCGCTGCTTTCGCGCCAAAGCAAGAGCCCATACCCCATAGCCCCGACGGCGATCACCACTGCGATGACGTACATGGTGCGCTGTGTTGATGCTTCAGAGCCTTCCGGTAGGATATGCGAGACGATAACTTACGAATAAATAAGTTGTGCACGAGGTTTTGACTCCTGATGATCTGCTTGAACGCTCGTTTTCGCCTTGTTTCTATCAGTACAAAACGGGCCGGAATATCTGGGGGCGTCACGTACGAGCTAGCCACACCACTACATGAGAGTGGTCACCGTTGCTGACTCCCATACCGATAAGAAAGCGATCATGAGCGCGGCTGTAATGCGCCTAAATCGTAAGAGTCAGCGTAGCTAGCGCAGTAGATATTCAGGGCACGCACGGCAATTGCAAGTACCTGGCTTCCCTCTATAACAGCGATGAGCTCGAGGGAAACAAGGTTAGCACATACTACGCACTTGGGAGCGGGAAAGTCTGGTGGATACGATGGCTTTTCGTATTCCACATGTTGACTGTCGCAGTTGTACTCCCACCCAAGATTGCGGAGCCTTCGTGTACAAACAGCACTGGTACTGCACGCATTTGTTGAGCCTTGTGGACGCATCCTCCGGTGCACGCGGTTGTTTCCAAGTCGTATATGTCGAATCCTGTCGTCATGTTAGACACGGCAATACGCGCGCCGTTCGGGGTGACGCTGATACCAGCCCTACGTGAAGAAGATGAGCTTTTGTTACCGGCATTAGAAAGCGTCGACTTGCACTAGGCCAGGGGTGGGGATTGTCCGCACCCTATTCCAGCTGGTATCGTAGATGCTTCAAGTTAAGATGGTCAGTTTATGACTCAGGGGATATATTCAATTACTTACACCATGCCGTGGAACATGTAGGACACCAACAGGAGCGAGGAGCGCCGTTTGGACGTCGTCCAGCGGACGCCGGTGACAAGAACTTCGCTATCTTCGTTGTGAGAGCTCCGGGGAGGCTTCGGGATATCAATTATGTGTTGAAATAGGCCTGAACGCCTCGTCATGTAAGCCCGCTACGGCGAAGTAAGCCTGACTTACCGACATCCTGCCGCTCCCAAACCGCAACCTCGGATTGAGCCCCGGAAACCAGCAAAAGGTCATTGATATCCAGATACTCTACGGGATGCTCATGGGCGCGAAAACCTGCCATGTTAAATGCGTCCTGATGCGCGCGATGAGAAGCGTGTAGAAGGCAGGGCACGAACGTACCGGCATCAGCTGAATATGGTCTATGCAGCCACTTTGGTTGCCGCAGAGAAGTTTGTCTTCCTGATCGGGCAGCCATTGCATGCAAAGGTTTGGGCTACTACCCTTGAATGTCTTGACCAGTTTACGGTCCGCTATTCGCCACAAGTACACGGTGCAATCGAGGGTCCCCGCTGCAGCGATGTATGTCCCCTTGCTGCTGAAAGCGACAGCGGAAACCCCGCCGTCGAGTCCGCGCCTGAGCTGAGCGTATTCTCCGTATATCAAAACCATGGCGTACACTAGAAGAGGTGGGGTTGAGGATGAGATCGTGGTCGGAGTAAGCAAGTGAACGCACATCGTGGATTCCTCAGGCTCGCGTACAGAGTCCGGGAAGAGCGGAGTGGCGTACTCCGTATTCCGAGTGACGCGGAGTGGCGCGCTCCAGATGTGGGGCACTACAGCGCCCTTAGCGCCCGCACCTCTTCTTCTCTCCGCGTCGCAAGCCACTCGGCCATCGAAGGACAGCTCGTCACGCAGCCGCCTCGCAACGCCACATGGTTATGTCGGGACGAAAAATCACGAAAGTCGCTCTCCGTGGGGAGTTCTCCGACCGTTTTGGATACGAGCCGGATCCTGGCACGACGGGGACGACGGAGACATCAGCCACGACTGGTAAGTGTGTCGGCGACGACTATGAGTGGGGAGGAATTGCTGACCTCAATCCAGGGAAAAGGGTTCGCTTTCAGCGCAACCTGACACCACACTCGACGGAGGACCTGGATCAAGTCGAGGATACCTCCCGCCATACCTCGTCGACGCCTCTCAGGCAACCTCGATTGCGAGCCCGACGGTCTGCTGCGCGAACGTCCATTCTTCATACCTCCATCTACATCCTGACAGTATTGACTGTACTGCTCGCCGGCGTCATAATCTATGGCATGGTCCAAGAAGATGAGAACCCGCTCGACATGGACTCTCCTCTGCTCGCCACAACCACACCGGCTCTATCCCCTCATGCTCACGACTCTTCCCCGCCAGAGTGTTGTTCTGCCGACTTCGACGCTTACGCCGAGCGTGTCCTATCTACCATACTACGAGACTATGTGGGCCGCCGAGATTTCGCTCTCTATGCGGATGGAGGCGGGGTGATGGATGAGCTTACGGTCCCCTTCCCGAGCTACTCAGCCGAACACGCGTCGAATTCTTCGTATCCACCGGAAATCGCACTCCAGGACGACATGCGAGTCGGGAAATGCTGGTTTATCCCTTCCCAACGCGCGCAGCTCGCCATCGTCCTCCCCCGCATGGTCTACCCGACCCACGTCACTGTCGACCACATCCCCCTTGTCATCACCGCAGACATCGGCGAAGCCCCCAGGAACATGCGTCTATGGGGAATGATCGACGGCCTGCTCAATCGGGCTCGACATATCAACCTGAGCTCCTCCTACGAACTTCCATCGGCCGACGGTCGTCATACCCCGCCTCTTGCGGGAGATCGCTCGTACGTTCTTCTTTCCGAGTTCCAATACGACATCAATGCTCTCTCGCCGATCCAGACGTTTCATGTTGACTTGCATATTATTGATTCCCGTATGTACTTTGGCGTTGTGGTGCTAGAGATCGTCGACAATTGGGGTAGCAATACGACGTGCCTCTACAGGGTACGAGTGCACGGCGACCCTAAGGAGCCGTAGTGCTATACATCACGTAGTCGTGCGCTTCGTCCAACAATGCCACTTTCCCTTCGTGTCATCCTCTGCGCTTGTGTTTGTGCCCGACTGATACGGTGGGTCATCTGAAGTTAACCCCTTTGTCCTGGTCCTGCACAAACAGGAGATCGAGAGGACGCACAAAGGAAGTCGCCCTTGGGAGGTTGGCCTTCGACGATTAATGGGTTGCAAGAACATTGCCAGCTTGCCAACATGCAGCCGTATGTGCGTGGTGCAAACACCTCCCTTCTCAACATCGACCACCAGCATGAGTGAGCCACCGATCTCTGGTACGTCGTTGCTGTCATAAACTCAAGCTGTTCTGACATATTCGGCCTCTACAGCGACGAACTACGGGCGCAAACGACATCTCCACGAGATCGCCCCATACAATTGCTTCTCGAATACGAAGGCGGCGAGAATCAATGACGATGTGAGCACTCGCGCGTGCCGCATGTACAAGGTAGCTCTTCTGTGACTGACGCGAGGTGCAAAGCATCCACCGCCGATCGAATTGGAACCGTACGAAACACCTCAAGCACGGAGACTGCAAGAGGTAGAGCAAGCCCGCAGGGTATCCCGTGCGACAAACAGATCCAAGGTAAGCCCGTCCCTCCCTTCACGTCAATTGCGTGTCTGAAGCAGTGCAGCACATCACGAAACATCAACCGCCCTCGCTCCCGGACCTTCCTTGGGCAAACTTCGTACACAACACCCTCGAGGAGATTCGAATGCAACCGACCAGTGCCGGCGAATACAGCGCACCGGTGGAATCCTCCAGCCATATGGTGTTACTCCCAGGCCGTGCTGATGCATCCGCCAGCACCACTCCGGCTGCCATGAATCCTGCGCCGCTGCCCTCTGCGCAACCCCCACCCGCGCCTCCGTCAGTCTCTCATCATTCCTTTCCTCATGGCCATCCCGCGCCTCCGTCTTCCCATCCTCCTGCGCCGCCGGTTGCCCGTCTCCCTCCTATGCCACCGTCTACCGGTATTCCCGCCCTGCCGCCCACCGCCCGCCGTACTCCTCCCGTGCCGCCCGCCGCCCGCCGCCCGCCTCCCGCGCCACCGTCAGCTCGGCCTCCTCCTCCCCCTCCCCCGCCACCGTCGACTCGTCGACTCCCTCCTGCGCCGTCGTCCGACTATCTACCTCTTGCACCAGTGCATCCTGCAGGGCTTCCCACACCTGCGGCTTTAACATCCGCCCACGTCGGCCACGCCGGCCACGTCGGCCACAACGCCCACAACGCCCACAACGCCCAAAACGCCCGCGCTGCCCCGTATCATGCTCATCCTGCCTCAAACACATCTGCTCAGCAACCTCCTCAGCACGTGAACCGGGACATGCCGTCTCTAGGCATAGTACGTATCATGCAGCAGATCTATTTCCGTCAATACAGGGAGAACCTTGTGAGTTATCCACGTTGGTCAACATACCGATTACTTAACATCGTTTCTTCCAGACGGATGAAGGAGCGGTCGAATTCTGGTCGCGTCTAGGCGATCTAGACAAGGAGAACCTCGTCCGGTTATACGTGGAGTCGACGCAGGCTGCGCAGTTGCAGCGGCATGCATCTGATGAAGCGTTTAGCAGATTGCCGACCCAGTTAGTGTGGCAAAAAACCCCTGAGCAGGGTGTTCCACCGCCCACCGCCGCCCCTTCGGGCGCACAATTTGCTACACCGCCCCAGGGACTCCGCAGAGAAGAGACGGCTGATGCGTTTCCGCCCGAATCTCCGCAAGAGACCACTACGTTCGCGGCTACCCCTAGTAGATACACACAGGGCGCGAGACCGACGCCGACAGGGTCCACCGACCTGCCACCGGTATGTGTAAACTTCATGTTACACTCCGACGGACCTGACGAGACGGCACAGATCGAGAACAATTGTCACCTCGAGCAGAACGCTTCTGAGTCGTCATTTTTCTCAGATGCCACGAGCACTTCGTGTGAAGGTCGCCCAACCGCCACTCGTGCGGAAAAGGGAAAGGTATGTGGTTCATGCATCTCCTGGACGACTGTATGCTTACACGGCAGCGTTGCCAGGGCCGCGCAGTGATTATTCGCCAGAGCACGGATGGTTCCAGCAGTTCTGCCAGCACTGCCACCCCAAGGCCTGTCCCTCCCGACAACCCCCGCCCTTCCGCACCCTCAGGACAACAGGTGAGGCGTATAGATGGATACTCTCGTTACCAGGCTCACCCCAACCCGCCATGTAGCAGTTCCGCGGCGACGAATCGGGATTCGCCAATGCGCAAATGGGTGCGCTTATGGTCAGGAAAATGGATGCGATGTGCCAGATGATGCAGACGCAAGCCGAAGCCTTGAAGGCGATGACGGAGAGTAACCAGCGTTTCCAGTAAGTGCATTATCCTATACCTTCGCGGGTTTACCTACGTGTTCTCGCAGGGAAGGGCTTCTCTCTATGCTTAAGGACCGGGCTGGCTCGTCCTCAGACCCGACGGCCTCAGGTACAACATCAGCTCCGAAGCAGAGGAAAACGACGACGACAAGGGGCGCTGATATCAAGGTTGCTCAGAAGATTGCAAAGGCTAGGGGCGAAGCAGGAAACACGTCGGAGGCTGAGAAAGCACAGCAGGATCGCAACCGCTTACAGGTTCGTCGGCGTGTACTCGACTTTTGCGTCGTCTCATCTGAATCATCAGAGTCGCGTGCGGAATCATATGAATTCCCTTTTGCAAATTGTGGATACCTCGCTGCTACCTATCAACTTCCCTTCCTTCACGGAGGATGAAGTCGACGCCTACCTTGCGGGCACTCTACAGTGTACCGTAGATCATTTCCGCGTCGACTTCGTACGGAAATGGAAGGTCTTCGGCTTCAACAAGCAAGCCAGGACCGTCCTGATCTCCTCCTTCCTTCGAAAGGTAGAAGGCGGGTCCTTCCTTACCAACCCCAGCCCTGAGTACCTCTTGACGCAAGAGTCCATTGGCAATGCGATCGACGTATATATGAAGCGCCTACGTCAGCTTTACCGCAACGCCGTTAACCCGCCGACCCAGAAGAAGAAGGATGCAATCAAGCGTCGTGCTTGCCAGGTTTCTCGCATGGGCACGGTATGTTACGTCTCTCTAGCGGCAGATGCTGGTTGCTAATGCGGTTTTGTCAGTCTTATCGCGACCGGCGGTTCGTCGTGCTCTACCTTGGCGAAGGACGCCACAAGGTCCTCTTCGAGCGGCTGTCTGCGGCCAATATGAGCGAGGACGAGACCGATGGCGACGCCGTAGAGCACCCGCCGGTTTATCGCATCGTCATCGCCGAATGGCAGAGCGAAGAATTCAAGCTATTCCTCTGGGCGCTGGACGCGCTGTACCGCATCCACTGGAAGGCACCGCCTGCCAGCAGGTGCAAGTCGGGCAATCCTCCCAGGACGCGGGTCTTGCGGGAAGGCGCAGGTTGCAAGACGATACCCGGGACGGCCGCTCCGGGTCTCTGGCGTAATTGCTATAACCCAGAGTGGTTGCGGAAGCTCAAGGCTCACGATCTTGCCGAGCTCGACATCCAGGAGGGCATCTACGACTTCTCACTCGACACTGCTGCTGCTTAGTTCGTATTGAATTGACTCTATTAGGTTATCTGTACACTACCCACGGAATAGTGATCTGCTTCAAGTACCCTGTCGATTCGCCAGTGGACGGTTGCCCGCGCAGAACGTGCTCTGAACGGTATGGTGCGGGACGGCGCCGCGCGGTACGGTGCGACACGGTGTGGTACGGTGCCGCGCGGTGTGGTGCGACGCAGTGCGGTACGGCGCGGTGCAGCGGCGGGCGGCGGCACATTGCCAGCCGCTGTCGTAACTCTGATGCACCACACGCCGTACGCGCCCAGGCACCCCTTATGCACCAACGGCCGTATGTTAGCGACTAATCTGACATAAGCGTCGGAGATTGTATTTGCACTCCAAATGCAGTAACTGGCCCCGGGAAAGGCTGCAGGGCCTGTTATCTCAATAGATAACAGGCGCTTTCTTATCTCTTTGGCCACATTAGGCAGGCACTTACTGATCTAATCTACAGGGCGCTTTTTTCGATTACACCTCGCCCAAATCAGGTAGGTGGTCCTGATCCTGGGGTGGACCACCATGCAGGGGTACCCCCGGCTCCTCTAGCTCACTCATTATGCGTCCGATTGACTTGGTTTCTTTTGCAGTATGTGCGCATAGTTAGGGCGAACAGAACGCGCCCCTTACGTCGCAAATCGGTGAGAATTTACCTGTGCTATGGGGCTTACAGATGTTCTACT